TGCATGCTGCATCTCAAACAGACAATGACTCTGGGCATTATTGCATGCTGCATCTCAAACAGACAATGACTCTGGGCATTATTGCATGCTGCATCTCAAACAGACAATGGCCCCGGGCATTATTGCATGCTGCATCTCAAACAGACAATGACTCTGGGCATTATTGCAAGCTACATCACAAACAGACATTGGCTCAATGCATTATTGCGTGCTACATCTCAATCAGACAATGGCCCCAGGCATTATTGCATGCTGTATAATTTTGGGTGCCCAGTGCAATGTGTCTAGCTAAAGTATATTCAGGTCTGACAAAGATGAGAAAACATGCCCTTGGCCACCCTTGTTTTAAGGAGGCAGAGTTGAGAGTTACACAAGAGGACGCCTCCAAGCATGAGTAACCTGGTGGAATTCTTACAGATAAAACCGGAACAACCTCACTGATCTCCATCTCACGAAGTGTGTCGGTTCGATTTCAAGACAAAAAAACCCTGTGTGCCATCAGTGACAATAGATAATGGCATTTTTTTATACCACAGTCATGCAAGTTCATCATAGAAGAGATTTGAAGAAAACACCACAAACGTCTTTTTTATCGTAAGTGGCGCTCCAGCAAAAATTCTGTGAGATTAAGCATTATACGTCTTTCCTATTAATCACTGCCTTTTGGGGAAATTACAGTTTCTCTGTGCTGTGCTCGAAGGAGTTCAGCAACTTATGACATCACAAACCAGTGGCTTAACCACTTCCTTTAACTTGTTTTGTTTCCTGTGAGCTGTGATTTGTCTTGGTATTGGAAGGTAAGATAGATCTATGGGGGCCCTGTGGTGGACTGGCAGCCTGCCCAGGGTGTACCCCGCCTCTCGCCCGAAGATGCTGGGATTGGCTCCAGCTTCCCCGCAACCCAGATGGATTAAGCTGTGTAGATAATGGAAGGATGGATAGATCTATGGGTGTCAATAATCACAGTGGAAACTAGGTTGTCATATGCTATTCATCCACATCATACTCTCTCTTTTTGTTGGCTCTGTTTTTTTTTTATCGCCTTATCAAATTACATCCGCACTTTATTATTTCTAGCTGAGTTCCCACGGTAATTCTTAGTTTTAGTGGTAAAGTAAATGTAGTGAAATTGATTCGATTTCTGTGAATTGAATTTCCAGCATTGCTTATGTTGTATTTAAAATTATCATTAGATGATGTTTTTATATATTATGATGTAACACACTAGAAGTACAGTTTGCCAATCTGGAATGATGTTAATTAATCAGAGCACAATAACAATGTGCTGTTTCTATGCACATGGTAACCGTTGTTAACTGGAGTTTCATAGTGTATTTACTGACAAAACCTGGGCAACTGATCTGATATGAGCTACACTTACAAAAGCTTCAGACTTTCATCAGATACCTTCTATAAGAGTTCAGCAAATGAATGAAAGTCATTAGTGCTTGAAGTGAGAAAAACAGGTGCCAGTATTCCCTTTGTTATTCAGCATAGGCAGTCCCCAACATACATCCGACTTACGGACAACTTGTACTTAAAAATAGACTGCCATACAGCCATTTACAATTTGAGTTAAACACAATGGTTCATAATGAACACAGGCACTACTTTGTGACACTCGTGAAAACATTGCACGGCTTCAGCAGTTTGTTGGCTCATGGTGCCATATGTACTTACTTTTATAATTACTGTATTGTCATTGTTCTGACTTACCTACAAATGCGACTCAAAGATAGATTTAGGGAGCAGATCTCTGTTTGTTCCGGCATATTATAAGAAGTGCCAGTACACAAGAAATGTTCATGGTACTGCGAAGAGAAAACCAATGATCTGCCAGTACGGCATACTGGTGAATACTGGCCCACTTCATGCACTGAAAAATCTTATATAATTCACACAGCAACATATATAAGCTACTACTGGAGCTGCGCTGAAAACGACTTGATATGATTTAGTAATTCATTTATAATTCATAAAGTTTCAGCTTTTCATCACATCCAGCAAGGGCTGCCGTATTGAGATTTCACCACACCCACATCGCCTTTTAATGAAAGTTCAACTGCAAACTGTACCTGAGAGCTGGGGGTGGAGGGGGTGGAGTCAGGAGATTTCCCCCTTCATATACAGCACAAACCACCACTGCTCAGGCCTCAGACTGACAGCTTCTTTGAAGGTCTTACAGCGTTCTGCTCCACTGAAGCTTCTGGAGAAGATGGCCAAAGGCTTATGAATTGTGGCACCTCCACATCCCAAGGATATGATCACTGAAGTTCATTCAACAGGCGTGAGCATTTTACCCAGATCCTTTGTCTTTGAGGTTTTCCTTCACATAGAGTAAAGGTCAGTTTCCACTTGTGTGTGTTATTAATGCCGCCGCTGAAGAGGATTGGGAGCCTGACCTGCAGAAACATGGCTTCTGTAGCTTTGTAACAATATTGTAGTGACTTGCTGATGCAGAAGTTTTCTATATGTTTTCTATAATTGAGTTCCGTTTTAACACAAGTAATAAATTATTTTAGTGTACTCCGC